CCGTTGTTTTTTGTGCTTGCATGAGCGTGTTCAATAGGAGTGAATGGAGACGAATGGTATTTGGGACCTGACGATCTGTTGGAGTGTGAGCAGGGTAATATTTAGTGAAGGGATTCAGGAAAACCGTTTTTATGTAGCCGGACTTCATCCTGGAAATGGGAAGTACAATGCCTGCGCTCTAAAGGAGGGGTTTCGGGATATTAGCAGTTTGGAGGGATATGTTGTGTATCTTTATACGTATATGCTTCTAAACTGTTGTGTTCTGAGCACCTCTGCAAAAACAGTGATTGTGTGAGTGAGGTGAAAGTGTTGAATGATGATGAAAGTATTTTCTTTTTTGGGGATTCTTTCTTTTTGGGTCACCCTGCCTCGGTGGGAGACGGCCGACTTGTTGAAAAAAAAAAAATACTAAATAAAGCACCATGGGCCTAAAGAAAGCTTCTAGTGCCAACCCTGTGGTAAAAAAGGGTGAGAAATACTATCGTGCCACAGTCAGCTGCTGCTGCTGCTATACCACAGTAAGCTGCTGCTGCTGTACCATGGTCAGCTGCTGCTGCTGTACCACGGTCAGCTGCTGCTGCTGTACCACGGTCAGCTGCTGCTGCTGTACCACAGTCAGCTGCTGCTTCTGCTGCTGTACCACGGTCAGCTGCTGCTGCTGCTGTAACACTGTCAGTTGCTGCTGCACCACTGTCAGCTATTGCTGCACCATCGTCAGCTGTACTACTCGAAGGTGTGGAGAGACTGTTGTTGGTGTGGTTTAACGAGAAACAACCCCAGAGGGTTAGCCACCCAGGATAACCAAAGAAAGACAGTGCGTCATCGAGGACTGTCTTAACTTATTTCCATTGGGGTCCTTAATCTTGTCCCCCAGGATGCGACCCACACTAGTCGACTAACACCCAGGTGAACAGGAAAAAATGCCTGGAACTAGCGCTCATATTGGTGAATTTAAGGCCAGCAAAGGTTGGTTTGAGAGTTTTAACTCGGTGGGAGACGGCCGACTTGTTGAAAAAAAAAAAAAAAAATTATACATCTTACGCGCCACCGTTTTTGATGTGTATATACTCATAAATTCTAGCGGCTCAAATCGAGTAGGAGAAAGCTGGTAGGCCCACATGTGAGAGAATGGGTCTGTGTGGTCACTGTGCACCATATAAAAAAAATTCTGCAGCACGCAGTGCATAGCGAGAAAAAAAAAACTCCGACCATTTTTTTTATTTAAATGCCGATTTTGTGGTCTATTTTCGTATAGTATTTGTGGTTGTATTCTCGTTTTCTTGATCTCATTTGATAGAATGGAAAACACATTATAGAAATACTAGAGGTGATTTTGATTGGTCTTACTATGAAAAGAACCTTGAAATGGAGCTCAAAGTAGGAGAAATGTTTGATTTTTGCCGATGTTCAAAAGTAAACAAATGATGTCATTTTCCAATAAATGTCCAAGTAGCCATTCTGATATGCAGTCATGAATGGGTTGACATTATTTATACAATTATTACATTATTGCAGTATTCTGCATAACAGTAAATCTTCTATTTTTTGTTTGAATAAAAATTCAAAATAGAAAGCAGAAGTAATATCAGAGGGACCTGGAGACGTGACTGATGAACAAAGGAAATGTTATTTGAGAGCCAGGTATGTCTGCATTGTTCATTCTGGACCCTATTTTGAAACTGTCATTTTTTTAATTTTCGTGAAATTGGCCAAATTGCAAATTTCTGACCACGTTATTGGGTAGTTGAAATCGGTAATGGGCAGTTTCTTGTACTCAGTTGATAGAAAAAATGGAGTTCTAAAGAAATAGCTATGAGTTTGGTCGACTGGAACAATGGAATTAGCCGAAAATAGGGCTCAAAGTGGGTGAAATTGCCGATTCGTAAATATCGCTGAGGTCGCTAACTTAGCTAGAGCTAATTCCATCAGTTTCCCATCAAATTTCATTCTTTTGGTGTCATTACAATCGGGAAAAGATTCTCTATCATTTCATAAGTTTTTTTTTTTTTTTTTTTTTTTTTTTTTTTTTTTTTTTTTTTTTTTTTTTTTTGCAACACCAGGAGACACCTCAGGATTTGGGGTTGTGACAGTCAAAGTGTTAGGAATCGTAGTGGCATACACAGTGTGATAAGGCATGGTGAAGCTGAAAAATTCCAACCCCAACAAGTGTTTAATTGTGACGACTCAGGCCTGTTCTGGAAGAAAATGCCAAACAGGACCTATATTACTCAGGAGGAAAAGGCATTCCCAGGACACAAGCCTATGAAAGACAGGCTAACTCATGTTTTGTTGTAATGCTAGTGGGGATTGCAAAGTGAAGCCTTTACTTGTGTATCACTCTGAAAATCCCAGTGTTTAAGAAAATTAGTCTCTCATCGCTCATCACTACATCTTCAATAAAGGTGTCATTTATTCTTCATTTAGTACAGTATATTGTGCATGTAGCCTTCTTTTTGTGTGTAGGAAAACGTATATTTCATGTGGTAAAATTTTTTTTTCATACTTTTGGGTGTCTGGAATGGATTAATTGGATTTCCATTATTTCTTACGAGGAAAATTAATTCAACTTAAGATAATTTCATCTAACGATGAGCTCTCTGGAATGGATTAATATCATAAGTCGAGGGTCCACTGTACTATTTAATAATGGAGTGATTGGTAACTTTGTTCAATAAATGTATGAAAGAGGAGAAGGTACCTAAGGATTGGCAAAGAGCATATATAGTTCCTTTATTTAAAGGGAAGGGGGACAAAAGAGACTGTGAAAATTATAGGAGAAGTTTATAAGATATTTGGGAGTTGATTTTATCAGCAGATGAGTTTATGAAGGATGAGGTTAACCACAGAATTGACGAAGGAAAAAACATGAGTGGTGTGTTGAGGTATCTGTGGAAACAAAAAACATTATCCATGGAGGCAATGAAGGGAATGTACGAAAGTATAATGGTACCGACGCTTGTGTGGGTGTGAAGCATGGGTTGTAAATGCTGCAGCAAGGAGAAGGCTGGAGGCAGTAGAGATGTCGTGTCTAAGGGCAGTGTGTGGTGTGAATATTATGCAGAGAATTCTTAGTGTGCAAATTAGGAGGAGGTGTGGGGTTACTAAAAGTATTAGTCAGAGGGCTGAAGAGGGGTTGAGGTTGTTTGGTCATTTAGAGAGATTGAAACAAAGTAGAATGACTTGGAGAGGGTAAAGGTGGTTTTGTAGACGAGGAGCTTGAACTTCCAGCAAGTGTGTGTGTGCGTGTTAGAGTGAATGGAGATGAATGGTTTTTGGGACCTGACAAGCTGTTGGAGTGCAAGCAGGGTAATATTTTGTGAAGGGATTCAGGGAAACTGGTTAGCCTGACTTGAGTCCTGGAAATGGGAAGTACAATGCCTGCACTTTAAAGAAGGGGTTTGGGATATTGGCAGTGTGGAAGGACATCTTAATTATCGTATCCGAGCGCCACTGCAAAGACAGTGATTATGGATGAGTGATGGTGAAAGTGTTGAATGATGAAAGTTTTTTCTTTCTTTCTGGGTTTTTCTTTCTTTTTGTTTTTTCTTTCTTTTTGGGTCACCCTTCCTCAGTGGGAAATGGCTGGCTGAAATGTTAAAAAAAAAAAAAATTGGGAGTGCACTTGTCATTGGATAGATACGTGAAAGACGAGGTGAACCATAGAAGTGATGAAAGGAAAAAGGCGAGTGATGCATTGAAGCATCTGTGGAGACTAAGCACATTATCCATGGAGGGAGAGGATTGTATAAGAGTATGCTGGTACCAACACTTAAATGGGTGTGAAGCATTGGTTGTAAATGCTACAGCAAGGAGAATGCTGGAGGCAGTGGAGAAGTCATGTATGAGGGCAGTGTGTTTTGTGAATATTGTGGAGAGAATTTGTAGCTTGAAAATTAGGAAGTCTAGAGTTACTAAAAGTGTTTTCCAGAGGGCTGGGGGGTGTTGAGATGGTTTGGAACAAAATAGGGTGACTTGGAGGATCTATAAATCTGTAGTGGAGGGAAGGCAGCATAGGGGTCACCCTAGGAAAGGTTGGAGGGAGGAGGTTTTGTGTGTGATGGGCTTGGACATCCAGCAGGCATTTGTGAGAATGTTAGATAGGAGTGAGTGGAGGCAAATGGTGTTTTTGGACTTGACATGCTGTTGGTGGGTGAGCAAGGAAACATTTTGTGAAGGGATTCAGGAAAACCTGTTTGCCAGACTGTCAAGGAGGTGGTAAGTACAGTACCTGCACTCTGGAGGAGGGGTGGGGATCTTAACTTAGGTATCAGTGCACCTTTGGCATGATAGTGATGGAGTTAATGATAGTAAAAGTGTCTTTTTCTGATCACCTTACTCCAGTGGCAGACAGCCAGTGTGTTAAATAAAATAATGCAGATCTGGAGAATGTAGAGAGAACACTTATCATTCTGATTCACTATCACTTCTGATTCAGAAGTCCCTTGCACTGTACTCCTTTGTACATAGGTGAGAAAGATACCTCACAGTTGACACCTGGAAAAGCAAGAGGGAATGATCCCAAATGTGCACACTGAAATCCTTCCTAATAAAGCAAGAGGGTCCGCAGATATTGCAAACTATCCCGTGACAACTCAGGGTGCCATCTTTGCACTAAGCGATAACTCAAAAGTGTAAAGGATCATCAGCCATTTACCCTTGATACATAAGGGGAATTACTAACATACCCATAGCTGTATTCATAAGGGAATTGAATAGGTTCCTTAAGTCAGTTCCTGATTGGCCGCATTAGATTGCTTGTGGCCAACAACTGGGTGGGATGGTTTGGGACTGGGTGCAACGTTGTCTGACCCTTATGGGTTTAGTGCTTAATTATGATTATTATAATTGGGACTGGGTCATAGGGGGGGTCACTGCCCTTATGACCCAGTGCTTATTATACCGATGTTTATTATACCCAGGTATAATAAATATTACTTTGCCATATTTATTTCCAAGGAAGTGCTGCATTAGCACTGCTACATTTATTGTTTTTCTTGTAGGACAACTCTACCATGTTGATGGAGGCAAGCCGTGGTGGCCACACCAAGGTCGTGCAACTTCTCATCGACTTTCCCAGCTCCATTTCTCATCTCCTTCCCGTGGTTGCCCCCCCACATCCCAGTGTGACTGGTGGCAGCACAGGAGCAACAGGAGATTTGACCAGTGGGCCCCTGCTGGAAGGAGATCCACCACACCTCACCATGGGTCTCACAGTGGTCCCCGGCTCAGATCCTCAGACTCCCTTAGTGCTCAATGCAACTCAACCCATATTTAATGATATTGGTAAGCACATTCTGTATAGTTTCTTCCATCTCTATTCTTTTTTTTTATTGCTGTTGTGGATCTTGACTACAATTATTTGTAAGTAATTATTATTAGGTGTGTGTTTTATCATTGTGTTGCAGTTCCTATATCCTCTCCCTTGTAATGATCAAATTTGATACAAAAGGAATTGTGTGGAGAGCCAAAATAAAAAATTATTTCTTTTGAAAATAGATTGGAAATAAGGTCTTTCCATGCATGTATGAAGAGTTTCAGATAAACTTCTCAAAAAATATAAGAGAAAACTAATTGTTGATCTTGATGTTTCTTTTAATTTTATGTATTAAACTTGTAAATTACATTATTTAACATTTTATACCATACAAAAGTTGTGTCAAGTGTTTTTAATTAATCATTGCCAGTGTATAAGAAAAATTATGGATTTCTTTTTAACTGAATTATTACTTAAACTAAATTCTTTGTATAAGAAAGTACTTGGTTTATCAGGCCTCTGAATCCACAGTTATTGAGAGAGATTTAATATGCTAATCATCCCAAGATATAATGTAATTATTTTTATAAATAAAAGCAGTATTTAGCTGCAAACAAGAAAATTGTTACAAGTGTTACAGCTCTTGAGAAGATTGTAGAAAACTAAAAATCCTGTTAATGTGGTAGTTACAAATGGTTGTAATTGTCCTGTACAGTATTATATATATAGAATGTGAAGTAGAAGCATGCATTGGAATTGTGTAATTACACCATATGATTGGTTGCTGATCATATTGTATGATATGGATTATGCCATTCATCCTGTCATAGCACTCTTGTTTTCTCAGTCTTTTCTATTGTCTTGTGCCTTAGTAAGCACATAACAAATATGTATAGTTTTTTTTTTTTTTTCTCAACAAGTCGGCTGTCTCCCACCGAGGCAGGGTGACCCAAAAAAAACAGAAAGAAAATCCCCAAAAAGAAAATACTTTCATCATCATTCAACACTTTCACCACACTCACACATTATCACTGCTTTTGCAGAGGTGCTCAGAATACAACAGTTTAGAAGCATATACGTATAAAGATACACAACATATCCCTCCAAACTGCCAATATCCCAAACCCCTCCTTTAAAGTGCAGGCATTGTACTTCCCATTTCCAGGACTCAAGTCCGACTATATGAAAATAACCGGTTTCCCTGAATCCCTTCACTAAATATTACCCTGCTCACACCCCAACAGATCATCAGGTCCCAAGTATCATTCGTCTCCATTCACTCCTATCTAACATGCTCATGCACGCTTGCTGGAAGTCCAAGCCCCTTGCCCACAAAACCTCCTTTACCCCCTCTTTCCAACCTTTTTGAGGATGACCCCTACCCCTCCTTCCTTCCCCTATAGATTTATATGCTTTCCATGTCATTCTACTTTGATCCATTCTCTCTAAATGACCAAACCACCTCAACAACCCCTCTTCTGCCCTCTGACTAATGCTTTTATTAACTCCACACCTTCTCCTAATTTCCACACTCCGAATTTTTCTGCATAATATTTACACCACACATTGCCCTTAGACAGGATGTCTCCACTGCCTCCAACCGTCTCCTCGCTGCTGCATTTACCACCCAAGCTTCACATCCATATAAGAGTGTTAGTACTACTATACTTTCATACATTCCCTTCTTTGCCTCCATAGATAACGTTTTTTGACTCCACATATACCTCAACGCACCACTCACCTTTTTTACCTCATCAATTCTATGATTAACCTCATCCATCATAAACCCATCCGCCGACACGTCAACTCCCAAGTATCTGAAAACATTCACTTCTTCCATACTCCTCCTCCCCAATTTGATATCCAATTTTTCTTTATCTAAATCATTTGATACCTTCATCACCTTAATCTTTTCTATGTTCACTTTCAACTTTCTACCTTTACACACATTCTCAAACTCATCCACTAACCTTTGCAATTTTTCTTTAGAATATCCCATAAGCACAGTATCATCAGCAAAAAGTAACTGTGTCAGTTCCCATTTTGAATTTGATTCCCCATAATTTAATCCTACCCCTCTCCCAAACACCCTAGCATTTACTTCTTTTACAACCCCATCTATAAATATATTAAACAACCATGGTGACATTACACATCCCTGTCTAAGACCTACTTTTACCGGGAAGTATTCTCCCTCTCTTCTACACACCCTAACCTGAGCCTCACTATCCTCATAAAAGCTCTTTACAGCATTTAGTAACTTACCACCTATTCCATATACTTGCAACATCTGCCACATTGCTCCTCTATCCACTCTATCATATGCCTTTTCTAAATCCATAAATGCAATAAAAACTTCCCTACCTTTATCTAAATACTGTTCACATATATGCTTCAATGTAAACACTTGATCTACACATCCCCTACCCACTCTAAACCTCCTTGCTCATCCGCAATCCTACATTCTGTCTTACCTCTAATTCTTTCAATTATAACCCTACCGTATACTTTTCCTGGTATACTCAGTAAACTTATTCCTCTATAATTTTTACAATCTCTTTTGTCCCCTTTCCCTTTATATAAAGGGACTATACATGCTCTCCGTCAATCCCTAGGTACCTTCCCCTCTTTCATGCATTTATTAAACAAAAGTACCAACCACTCCAACACTGTATCCCCCCCCTGCTTTTAACATTTCTGTCATGATCCCATCAGTTCCAGCTGCTTTACCCCCTTTCATTCTACGTAATGCCTCACGTACCTCCACCACACTTACATTCTGCTCTTCTTCACTCCTAAAAGATGGTATACCTCCCTGGCCAGTGCATGAAATTACCGCCTCCCTTTCTTCCTCAACATTTAAAAGTTCCTCAAAATATTCTCGCCATTTACCTAATACCTCCCTCTCCCCATCTACTAACTCCCCTACTCTGTTTTTAACTGACAAATCCATACTTTCCCTAGGCTTTCTTAACTTGTTTAACTCACTCCAAAATTTTTTCTTATTATTTTTATTTATTATCACACTGGCCGATTCCCACCAAGGCAGGGTGGCCCGAAAAAGAAAAACTTTCACCATCATTCACTCCATCACTGTCTTGCCAGAAGGGTGCTTTACACTACAGTTTTTAAACTGCAACATTAACACCCCTCCTTCAGAGTGCAGGCACTGTACTTCCCATCTCCAGGACTCAAGTCTGGCCTGCCGGTTTCCCTGAATCCCTTCATAAATGTTACTTTGCTCACACTCCAACAGCACGTCAAGTATTAAAAACCATTTGTCTCCATTCACTCCTATCAAACACGCTCACGCATGCCTGCTGGAAGTCCAAGCCCCTCGCACACAAAACCTCCTTTACCCCCTCCCTCCAACCTTTCCTAGGCCGACCCCTACCCCGCCTTCCTTCCACTACAGACTGATACACTCTTGAAGTCGTTCTGTTTCGCTCCATTCTCTCTACATGTCCGAACCACCTCAACAACCCTTCCTCAGCCCTCTGGACAACAGTTTTGGTAATCCCGCACCTCCTCCTAACTTCCAAACTACGAATTCTCTGCATTATATTCACACCACACATTGCCCTCAGACATGACTTCTCTACTGCCTCCAGCCTTCTCCTCGCTGCAACATTCATCACCCACGCTTCACACCCATATAAGAGCGTTGGTAAAAAAATTTCTTATTTTCATTAAAATTTCTTGACAGTGCCTCTCTCACTCTTTCATCTGCTCTCCTTTTGCACTCTCTCACCACTCTCTTCACCTTTCTTTTACTCTCCATATACTCTGCTCTTCTTATAACACTTCTGCTTTGTAAAAACCTCTCGTAAGCTACCTTTTTCTCTTTTATCACACCCTTTACTTCATCATTCCACCAATCACTACTCTTTCCTCCTGCCCCCACCCTCCTATAACCACAAACTTCTGCCCCACATTCTAATACTGCATTTTTAAAACTATTCCAACCCTCTTCAACCCCCCCACTACTCATCTTTGCACTAGCCCACCTTTCTGCCAATAGTCGTATAGTGTTATGGAATATTAATTAAAATGTCACCATTATTACCTGGAAGTCAAATGTCACCATTATTACCTGGAAGTCCTTGAAACACCAAGGAGATAATGTGATTGTTCAGCGTATTTAATAATATAGCTCATTCAGTTTAATACTCATCATCTTGAGACCAGGGTTAATGTTAGAATTGTTTGTTGATATATCACAATTTTAAATTGAAATTTCCTGGTAAATGAGATGGAAAAAACATTTACCATTTTGGAGACAGTTGTTTGATAACACACTGCTGGTTGTTCATTCTTCAGATATCATCCTGGCACCAATGGCACATAATTTTTTGATGAATTTGGTTTTCTTATCGAATCATTTGCAAAGAAGAATGGCCGTTGTCCTGTTTGTGGTGCCTTAACTACTTGATTGATTGTCCACAACAGAAGCCCTATTCATGCAAGTTCCTGGAGCTGATAGATTTGATTAATTTCGAGATTGTTATCACCCAAATACATTGGTGACCATATCCTGGACTTCATTCTGTTTTCTGCTAATTCTTGGAGCATTGATGGTGTTGAGGTAATATCTCTCGATGTTATCGTCATATTGTCACTTTTAGATACTATGGTGCTCCCTTCTTGTGAGCATATACTGTCTTTTTGTAATTCTAGAAACCTTGATATGAACCAGGTTGGTGTGGTGGTGAGAGATACCTTGGGCAAGGCAGATGCATCTGCACTGTGTGTATACCAGTTTGCAAAGTTTCATGATGAGGCATTTCAATGTGACTAGTAAGTACCGTCCTTTGATCATTGAAAAGAACTTGATTTGTGACCTTGCCCTTTAGTATGGTTCCTGTGTTGCCCAGTTATGGAGGTCTTGTAGGTGTGTAGAGCATAGATTGCATACTCTTGTGTCATAGTCTGATTATGTAGAAGCTCACAAGGCAGTTGTGAACAGGGTAATGGTTCATAAGGTGGAATACTACAAGGAAAATATTGGATTTTGACTTGGGCTCTTGTA